CTTTTTAAGATTTAAGTTACAGGCAGTAAGCTGCACAAAAGAAACAGAAGCATTTGCAAAGATGCATCTAGTCTGACTGAAAATCATAGATTTATATTACCTAATTATTCATCTGAATATCTGGACTCTCAGTTGCCTATGCAAAGAATTATCAGATCTTAAAAAAAAAAAATGCATGAAGCGGTTTGCAAGTGTAGAAGATGAAATGAGAAGAGAGCTCCCTTTTTATAACTGTTTTGCATGTTCTCTTATTTCATTTCTGCTTTAAAAGCTGTATAGACGGAATTTGAAACTGTCTCCTAAAAACTACACAGGCACTTGTTTTTAACAAAGAGGAATTAATACTAAGGAAAAACTTCCTTAAACGCTAACAAATCCAGAATTTCCTGTGTGTTAAACCATAACCTTTTTTCCCTCCTGACCTCACAAATTACTTGTTGATATATGATTTTCCTTTTATTCCTTCTCAGAATGAGAAGCCTATTTTATATCTGTTTGGTATGTAAAAAATGCTGTTCCTCTCCTCTCAATTATTTTTAATACATTTGAGGGGGGGAAAATACCACAAAGTTGGTGAATATTTATTCAGTTTGCTTTGACAGCATTTTGTTATTTAAGACATAAATCAGATCTGGAACAACTTTCTTCAGGGAAAAATTGTTTATCTGAACTTGAGTGTACTTGTGAAGCCGTCATGGAAATGATACTCATGCTATTGCTGTGTAATAGTAATTATTTGCATTGTTTTACATTGTTTTGTTTTACAAAGTAAGGCTAGACTGCATAGAGATGCTGGAATTCATCTACAGATCAATGTAAGATCAGAGCCATTGACCTCAGTCCTCCAAATAATGATGTGCATGTTTATCTATCAGTGCACATTACACCAGTGTCAGAACTCTTTTAGCATGTAAAGTTAAATGACGCATGACTGGTTTGTGGGGTCCAGACCCAAGTTTATTCTCAAGACAAAGCCCATTGAAGGCTCTGGGCTACAAGGCTAGCTCACAAAGAAATGCTTAGGAAGAGATAAGTAAATATGTTTTTGAATTGGCTGCTAGTTTATACTATGTCCTCATTTGGCTGTGTGGTTCTTAATTAATATTTTAACATTCGTGGCATTTTTGTATGCACATAGGGGTTGCAGCTTCATGCCCTTCAAAACCGACAATACATTCTTTGTGTCCAGAAATCTTATACTGCTTTAGCAGCTTTGGGAGCAGAAAGAAAAGAGGTTTATTCCTTTAGTAGTACCTGCTGAAGATATTTGAGGATGCACAAAGACAAATGCTTTCCCAACAGAGTACACAATTACTGTTTGCAAAGACAATCCAGACTTAACTTTTTATACTTCTGAGCCTGACAGTGTATAGTACTTTCATTCACATACAGTGAGTGTTGACTTTTATCATATTATTAGTATTCTAAACTCACAGTTTCAGAGTTTTATAGCTCAACAGTAGGTTTAGACTCAGTAAATTCAGCCCAGGAGCACTGTTTTTCAGTCCAAGAGGCATCTTTAGTTGCTACAGTATCAAGCAGAGTTTACCCTGTTTACTTCAGGTTTTTTTAATGTCTAAGATAACAGATTTTAAGCAAAACAAACAAACAAAAAAAAAAAAAAAAAAAAAAAAACCCAACAACTCCTGAAATTAAGAATTGTTTCAGTCAGAGTTTCAGTCCTCCAATTACTAGCCTTCTTTCACATAATTGGAAAAAAATGAAAAGTCTGAATAATAGGCATTTTGAATCAACTCCTGAGGACTTATAATGGACCACATTCAATATAATCCTGTGCAAATCTCACTGACATCAATAAATATGTTCTGTACACATCCTGTTTTTAAAATCCTGCATGCATAATTACAGTTAGCATTGTTTCTACCGTGGGTGGATGCAACTCCGAATGTAGATTTGTACTGCAACCACAATGATTCTCTCCTGAGACAAATTCAGAAAGCTGTTCATAAGCTGTTCTGGACTTTTAGGTAACTAATCCCATCCCACAGATACACTCTCAGGTACATTTTGTTAAAGAAAATCAAACACTTTAGAATTTGTATTTACATGACATTCACTGTTCCAGTATGTGGATAAATTATATGCATTTTATCACGTTCACTTACAGAGAAACTTAAGTTTTGTACATATCATAGTAACAGTAAAATAATGTTAAGCTCATGATATAAGGTAGCATACACTATACCGGATCTCAGCTATTTTCCTTTCTTTCTTGAATCTGTGAAATAAAGGGAATTTTAAATTTATATTTCTTGGGAATAATACATATGTATGACAACCAGATCGTTTCTCAAGCATTTGATATTGCCTGTTTAATTAATGTTACTTGTGTGTGCTTATGTAATCACCATTAGAACACAGAAGGACATATTGTACTTACTGCCTGTGCTAGAGCATAATGTGCTGGACTACAACAACTACACTTGTTAAGCTGATTTTAGCGTTTCTTCACACAGCAGGAAGCACCCATGCTGTGGTTTCTTAATATACTCTTTCAGTACTGTACTGGAGAGTACTGTATAATAATAATAATTAATAACAATTCTCATCTTACCAGTACTGCTACCAACCTGATGACCCAGGTTATGGTTTCAGAGTTCCACTATCCTGTACATTGAAACATATATCTTTCTTTTCAGGGTTTCATTTCTCAGATGGTACTGCTAAACAGAGCTGAATTTTTTTAAGGACAGGCTTGTTGCATGGATTCTCATGGCTCCACATTTGTTCAGGTCTCCAAGGACCAGCACCAATAAGTGTGAAGGAGACAAGAGCAGAATGGCATACTTTTCCATTTCCACCAGGGTGGAAAAAAGAAAAAAAGAAAAAAACCACTAAATTAAGTCTAACCTTAAATGTATAATCTGTCCTTGGAAGGGGGGGGGGCGGGGGGGGGGGAAGGATATAGCATCTTCAAGCTCTTGGCATCCCTCACGAGGAAAAATTGGTTCTAACGGTCTCTGATCTTGTGTTTTAGTAAAATAGAACTGCACGGCTGACTGACAGTTCTGATCTAAAGCATTTACGTTTAAGTTTTGATCTCTCTGCTTTTGATTAAAACTAATGAGCTCATTTAATTCAAAATGGGAATCTCTGATAAGAGAAATAAGGTTGATGTGATTGGATTAGAGGGGCAAATTAAACTCTTAGAGCAGAAGTTTGTGCTTATATAGTGTATTAAAAAGCTGTTGGCGTATTATGGCGTGTTAGATGATGAGAAAAATTTCATAGTAATTCATATTTAATCAGAAGAAATGAAAGTACTAAATATAACATGGCTCTGCTTTTCCCTCGAGTGATAAAGAGCTGAACATTTAAAATGACATCGAATCCATGCTCTCTAAAAAAAAAAAAAAAAAATCTTGAAACACGAAAGAAAGGAATATTGTAGTCTGTTATTTCATCACAATTGAGCTGAAATGTCTGAAACAGAAGACAATGTGACCACAATAAAATAAAGACATTTTTATAAAATCCATAGCTCACAAACAAGTTTTGGTGTTTCTGTTTTCTGCATAACATACTTGTTAAATACTTTAAAACTTTCCACTAGTAATTTGGTTGGTTCTTTAGAACAGTAGCAGAATAATTTCAAAACAATTTCAAAATAACTCTTTATTCAGTGTTAATTACTGATTGGAACTGAATGTGAATTAAGCTCCATTAGTGCTTATTGTAAGTCTACTCCAGAATTTTCCCATACACAATACTATGAGAAGAGGTAGGGAACTGTTGGTTATCAAGGTGAAAAACAGCAACAACAATGATTATGTAGAGAATATTTTGGTGCTAGTTATTGTTGTAACCAATAGTTTACCATGATTTATACTGAGTATTTATTTACTGTTTTTAAATGGTTGCAGTTCAGGAAGTGACAGTCAAAGGTGAGATCCAGCACTTAAAGGAAAAGCTGAAAAACACTGTTCATTACTAGTTAGTCACCAACAAATAAATTATGATTATTATCAATAATGGTAACAATAATAATAATAATAATGCCTTAGTCACATCAGCATATTTTACTTCAAGTTGCTTTATTTCTTTATTGATAATAATTAACCCTCAGTAACAGGGAAATCAGGGCATTCACAAACAGCAGTTATTATCCTAGGAAAGAAAGAAACTGAATCTTGGGAATGAAAGTCTGCAGAATTTGCTGCCTCTTTCAGCAAACAGAATTGCTTCCTTGGTGACACTTTCTTCTTCAAAAAACACTGAAGAAGTCCACTACTTTTAAAATGCCACAAAGATGTTCAGAGGGCTGGAGCTCCTCTCTTATGAAGAAATGTTGAGGGAGCTGGGCTTGCTTAGCTTGGAGAAGAAAAGGCTCCAAAGAAGAAAAGGAAGAATCGTTGTGGCCTTCCCATAGCTGAAGGGATCTTATAAACAGAAGGGGGACTTATTTTTACATAATCTGATAGTGATAGGTTATGTTTTTAATTAGAAGAGGAGAGATTTAGATCCAAGCATCTAGCTTGGAGGAAATTCCTTACTCGGGGCAGTGAGGCAGTAAACAGGTTGCCCAGAGAAGCTGTGGATGCACCATCTCTGGAGGGTTGGATGGGGGCTCTGGACAGCCGGATCCTGTGGGTGACAACCCTGTCCTCAGCAGGGAGTTGGAAATAGTGACTTTAAGGTCCCTTCCAGCCTAAGCCGTTCAGTGATTCTATGGAATGCATTCATAGCAAAACTGTGCAAGAAAGAGTTAATGAAGTAAATCTCTGGGAAAAAAAAAAAAAATCTGTGGAGAAAAGAACTTGAAAATGAGTCTGAGTATACATATATTTTTCAATTTTTTTTTTTTTTTTTTTTTTTTTTTGCTAAGTAAACATTTTCTAAACGAGGTAAATTGATTACAGCACTCTTAGCAACCATCAGTCATTTATTTTTAGTGAGTTCAAGGATTGCACCTGAAAAGTAGCTGAGAAGGGATGTATAAAATCTAAATTATGTATATATGTATTTTTTCTATTCCCTAGTCGAATCTACAAGCCCCAGTTTACTAACCACTGACAACACTCTAGAGCGTTCTTTTTTCATCCGAATGAAATCTACACTGACCAAGAGAGGAGTGCACATCAAATCGTCAGGATATAAGGTAAGGGTTGCATTGTAGCATGAAATACTGACATTTTTAAATTATATTATTTCATGTAGCAAAGACACATTAATAGTCAGAGAAAAGAGCTGTTTCATGTTTGCATAGATTTCAACTCTTTTGTTAAAGAATCATTAGTGCGTTATTTCCAGCCTAAGGTTTGGTAGTGGTTCTACACATCCATTAAATTGATCGTTATTACAGTAAACATTGATTATAGCATGAAGACCCTCAAAAAAGCAGCACTTCCACAGTAAAGGTACATTTTCTCAAAGTACGTGAGCCACAGTAAAATCACTTTTTCCCTCGAGGAAAATTACTACTTATTTAGGTAGACTGTTAGTTGTCTTTAGGTTATATGTTTTCTCAGAGATGTAGGACTTCTCCATGTGGACTGTTTGCTAGAGCTATTTAATTTCACTGCTGTTCTAGCTGAAGGAAACAACAAGCCATAATGATACTTTTCCTCCATTTTTCTTTTGTTGTCTGTCTGAGGGGTATCTGCTTCTGGGGATCATATTTACTGTATTTCTTACTCTTTTAAGATATGAAATGCTCTTGTTTCTTATCAATAGTAATCTCATTTTTCTTCAGTCATATATTGCTCATAGTGCCTGTAGCTATCACTGGCTTTGTGGTATACTAAAACTAGAAGCAATAGCACATTTTTAACGTTGTGAACCTGTGGAATGAAATATGCCATCCATTAAGTGTTATACAAGTTAAAAGAGTAGTGCAAGGAAGAAAGTCTGAGAATGTCTGTGTTTAGAGAAGGTGCTTGTCAATGTTCATTTAAAAACATTTCAAGAACATTTTTGTTTAGTTTTCAGAGGAAGATTTAGAGGAACTTTGAAGTAAAATTCCCCAGTTCACTCATCCCCAAATCTTCTTTGTGAATATGACATCAAGGTAGTCCACCTGAGCAGTAAAATTCTCTTGGTAGAAATATAGAAATATCTTCTTTGCAGGCAAATGAATGAAAGTTTTCCTGTTAGATAGTTTCTGGATCAAGATGATTAAAATAGTTGCTACTGGAATTTGAGATCCAAATGAAGTTTCTTAATACAACAAAAGTTATCATCTGCTTACTTTTTAGCACCTGAAAGATTGCATGTAGTATTTGTTCGTACTGACAGGTTTACAAGTCTTAGAAAGTACAAGACTGGAAATTGTACTGTCAGTCTCAGGAGGAAGGAGGCGAATGAATGGGTAGGGTATTGAAATTATACTCATTTTCATTATTAGACATGGTCTATCATAAGGCATTGCCTATCTAGGGCAAAGTTAGATTGGCAGAGAGCTTGCATTGCTGGATATTTTTGCTGTAGTAGTAATGGGAAAAAAAATTGAGAAAAATTTGGATTGTGCTGTCTGATGTTTTTTTTTCTAGATGTAGGTGAGTACACAAGGAAGACATACAAGTGATTTTGTCATTGTTTCTTCTTGAACTCCTGACAAGCTTATATGAGTCCAGCACCAAAACAGGACATAGGCTGGTTACACAAGTAGATTTTATCTTGTTACAATACAGTTTCTGAAATACTCAGGAAGACATAGTAATATCTATCATAAAAGCATAGCTTCATTTCTCTTTTGAAACCTGCTGATATCTCATTGAAACATTGAAAACCATAACCGAGCTGTCACAGGTAGAGCACAATTACGATTGAAAAACCCGATACCATTTTTAAGCAACTACTCCTAGACATGAAGAATGGGGAAAAAAAGTATGAAAAAAAAATACGATAGCTGACAAAACTGTCTATAACTAAAACCTTTTTTTCCCAAAATTTTTCCATGAGGCAGCAATGCAACCACATGAATAAACTTGCAGATACAGTGTGCAGTGTACAGAAGCATAGTCCAGTGGATTTTTGACATTTTGGAGGATTTTGTATCTGATAGTGTTTGACTAAATTCAGCTGTGTCCAGTTGTATAAATTGCACTTTGACAGTTTTATAAAAACATGCATAAAACACTCTGTGTTCTATGGAATGATAATTATCTTTAGGTTCAGTGAGTTTCAGTAAAACCGTATATTCATTTTAGAAGAGTTTGATCATGTGAGTGTCTTTTTAAGCAGAAGTAAAAACTGCTTTGTTTAAACGTCACTCTCAGTGTACTAGGCAAGCCTGAAAAAACTCAACTGCTACAGAGAACATCATCTATACTTTTAAGGAAATTTGCCAGCTTGTTCATTGACTTCTAGAAATCCAATGCTAGAACAAACTGTAGACCTCTGGAATTTGTTTAGGTATATATTTTATAAAACTTAGGAAAGATCCATGAGACGTAAGGATGTACAGCTGTAAGAAATTATCAAAAGGAAAAATATTTATGTAATACTGTCAAAGCTCATGAGGAGACCTGAACGCATTCCGTGCCAGAGGGCCCTGAAAGACCTCCAGCCTTTAGTCAGAAAGCACTGTACCAGCTGGGGCCATTTGCAGTAGAGTTTCTGAGGAAAATCCTGGTGGACCAGCTCAGAAGCCACTGCTTCAGAATACTACAGAGCACTGAATTTTCCCTCCTGGTTTAATAGCTTCCCTTAAGCCCTTCTGTTGTGTGTGGGTCACCTTCATAATCAAGCATGCAGACATTCACTGAGAGCAGTGTATCGCGAACTTGGTATCTTATGAGAGTCAGATTTTGGCTTTGCCAAATGTACGCAGCTCCCCATGAATTCAGACCTCCAGCAGTGACAAAAATTTTGTATATTTGTGAAATGTTTCTTGTTCCAAACTCTTGGTGAACTCAAAACTGTGTCTTCATTTTTTCTTCTCTTTGAGGACTGCTGATGAATGTTTTCCTTAGACAGCAAATGATTGAGGTGGTCCACAAGATGCTTAGGCAATTTTCAGAATGAGTGATCCCAGCCTCAGGAAAATCACATAAAATTGAAAACAGTCAGAGAAGAAGATTGATTAATCATTTGGGTTGATCTAGTCAGGACTAATTTTCTGTGAAAAGAAATGTGGGAACAAAACCCACAGTAATAGACTTACAAAGATCCATATATGTGTGCTTCAAAGAGACTTTGTTCTTGACTGCTCTGACATGAGATGAACCCTGTTTATAGACCCTTCCTGGACTGATTTAATTAGTCCTGAATTATACCTAAAGATGTAGATAATGGCTTTTTTTTTTTTCATGAATGATATAACCTTAGAAGTCTGAAATGAGAAGGCTGCTACATGATTAATCCACCCTCTTTCTTCTCTTTCATTTTTTCCCCAGCACCATCCTAGAATGGGATTTTCCTGATTAAGAATATCCTTAGTCCCAGAGTATGTATGAAAAGAGTTTATACACAGTCTAGAGAGTTATTCAGTTCTCACTGTGTAAATCAATGATCTTTTTAAAAAAAAAAAAAAAAAAGTCAAATAAAATGTAGTCAGCTACAAAAAACATTGAAAACAAATAAAAAGAGAAAAAATTAGTAATTCCATTCACTGTAGAACTCAGCATGTATTACCACTACAACTCTTGTCTAAGATGCATGATACAGAGCCTTACTGTTTTTCTCTGCTGAAAATATATAGTAGAATCATAAAGTCATAGAATGGCTTGGGTTGGATATGACCTTAAGGACTATCCTGTTCCAACCCTACTGCTTTGGGCAGGATTGCGCCTCACAAGATCAGGCTGCCTAGTGCCCCATCCAATCTGGCCTTGAGGACCTCCAGGCATGGAGTATCCACAACTTCTCTGGGCAACCTGTTCCAGTGCCTCGCCACCATCTGAGTAAAAATTTGTGCCTCACATTTAATCTGAATTTATCCTCTTTTAGTTTAAAATCATTCCCTCTTGTCTTATCACTATCATATAAAAACTCTGTCTCCCTCATCTTCATAAGCTTCTTGTAGCATCTTCCTTTTTTTTCCCCTTTTTCAATAGAAGTTTTTTTTATTTCACTTGGATTCTTATTGTCTCCATTTTATCTCTTCTCCTGTATTTCTCCTATTAAGGGTTGCTATCCTACCTACTTATGTTATTCCAGCTTCAATGTTTCTATTGTCCTGTATTCTTATACATATGTCAAAGCTATTTTTAATTGAAAGCTACTCCGTGCAAACTTGTTCAGTGCATTTCCTACTCCCTGTAGTATCCTATTATTGTTTTGTTTTTACCTTCATGTCAGATTGTGCTATGATTCTCTTTGTCCAAGCCTTTACAATCTGTTACTGGTCTCTTGAACAAAGCACTATTAAAGGAATAAAGAAGTAGTCAGCAAATCCAACATCAACAGAGCCAGTAGTTTCCAGTACTTTCAAGTTCATCAGCTCATCATGTGTTAACATATATCCATACATATTTCTCTACTGTTTTCTGCAGATGATATATAATTTCTCCCAAGATAAATCATTACCAAGTTGCATAAGCAAACATGGGGAGATCTCGTAGTACTTCCACTGTCACCGCAGCAATCTCTGATATTGGCATAATCAACATCTGTTACCTCTCCATTTCCCAAGAAGCTGGCAATCAAAATTCTTGCCTATCAGTCAGCAGAGAAAAGGTCATTTTAAAAACCCTGCAGGTTTTACCTTCCTACTTGGAGTGGTACTTTCTACCTAGTATGCTATCTAGGTGCCTCATTTTGGCACGTTCAGTATCAGTAAGAAGTGCCAGTGTCAACATTCTTCATTTTTGTGTCATTAAAACATCAAAACCATTGAGATCACAAGGCAATGAATATGCTGCAGACAGTTCAGTAACTAGAAGTAAATAGAGCAGCTGTCATGCACTGAGCAAAATCTTACCTATATCCTTAGACTTTTGAGCCAATGTTATTAGCTATCCAGAGAGATATACATAGAGAAATATATAGACATATGTGAATTTCAGGAGTCCTGAAATCCTTTAGCATGGCACAGAATTGTCAGAATCATAGAATCACCAAGGTTGGAAAAGACCTCTAAGATTATCCAGTCCAACCATCCACTTATCACCACTGTTTCCCACTAAACCATGTTGCTCAGTACAACATCTAAACGTT